TATTACAATTAAGGTGTGAATAATTATATATTACATCACACGTGAAATAAGATCTTTTAAAAATATTAGTATACGTTACAGTCAATATATTTACAGCATGAAATACAGGAGGAGGATCCAGATGATCAGTGTGATGCTAGACCTCCAAAAAAGAAGATGAAAACCGAATCCGCAACAAGTAGTATACAGGGTGTAAACCTACAGGTGGGCAATATTTTAAGGACGTGTTCTATGGTCAAAAATAAGATGAAAATGAAGAGAGAGAAAATTGCGTTTGGGACTTCGTTAATTAGTTATTAACATTTAAAAATTCGATGTTTTTGCCCCTAAAATTGACAATCCGACCTGCATCGGCGGACGTTTTCGGCATACGCTCAGCTGATGACCGCCGATCCATGCATGTCCATAACCGTAAGTAGAACCGTACCTATCAGAAATTTGTAGGCTTACCTCGGGTGCTGGAGATGGGAAATTATTTTAATGCGGTGTATCTTGGTATTCAACCTAATCACTCGCTTAATCCACAACAGCACAACGAAACTCGCTCTATGTGTGAGATTGAGGGATATTAATTTTTAAAAAAGTGAAAGTTTCTTTTCATGGACTAACGGCCTGTACCCTCGTTAACGGTCAACCCTAGCAGGCAGGAATTCTACGCAACCATCTAGGATTAGCCGAAGATGCGGACCTTCGAATTTTACATTAGGAAAACAAGTCTCAGCAGGAAACTAATGTCCCTGAAGGAATAACTGAATGTGAGCAAGAAGGGTCTTTGTTCCCCACAGGTCAAGAAGTTAACATTGGCAACTGAAGGAAACATGTGGCCAACACCAGCAACCATGGAAAACTCCCAAAGCAGGCTAAAAATTACCCCTTACGAAGGCGGAGCCTAAAAAAGGAAAATGTGTAGAAAACGAGGAGACAAAGGTCTGCGGACGATTCCTGGGAACGAGGGGGTTGCAAGAACGGACAGTCTTAAAGTAGCCTCCAGCTTGCGAACATCGTCAACCGTCTAACATAGTGTCTTATACTTAAGTTTTATTGAAAAATACAGTACGAATTTGTTTTAAGTTTATGCAACATCACTGTCGTTGTATGTGCACTTTATTAATCAACCCAGTTCCTACCTTTGAAATATAACATATGGGATTTTCCAGTCAAGGGGGTGAATGCCTTTTTTCTACGCACCGAATTGAAATATCCACACGAGTACACATGCACCGAAATTATCCCGTCCGTAGTGTCCACAAGACACGAAACACACAGTCACAATCCACACTAAACACTAAGCGCAGAATGACTCCGATAAATTCTTAAGCTTTTTAATCCTTTACGCGACGCACTTGCCACAGGATAACGGCTAAGAACTGATTGTTGGGAAGTTAACAAAAGAACGCACGGTTCCCGCAGGAGTGTAATGTGAAATACGCCTACGCTATTAATGCGTAACATGTCGCGATCATTTGATATTTATTTTACATTATTATTTTAAAACGCATGTTTGAGAAATGAACAGGGAAATTAATAGAATGTAAAAATCTGTGTTGGGAAAACTAAAAATGTAAAATGTAAATTATTGAAATCATACATTATTTCTTTTTGTGATCCGACACTGCGTTTAGGCATCGATAGTATTTTGTTTCTGACCGCCGTGCAAATGGAATCATCTTAGAGCAGTCGTGAAGGAACCGTCGCGTGTTACGTGTCGCGGAACGTCGCGTGGATAGTATATCGCGATACATTGTAT